CGCCGTGACAGAATCTACTTCATGCCAGTCTGTCTCCTACACTTCTGTATTGCGTCTTTCATTTGTTCGTTTTCACGATTCTTAAATTCTTTCTCTCCGTCTTCCTCTCTGCCCTCGCAGGAGTCAGCTGCGAAGGAGGAAGAACATGACAGGTCCTAGGGAGACAATATTCCTTACCCCGGATGCTCTGGATCAGAATCGGAGGATCCCTGCCCAGCGCTGGAGCCGGCCGACAGCGGAAGAAACTGGCCGCCAGCCGCTCACTGGCTTCTTCAGCTCCAACGCTGGAAGCAACCTGTCGGCAAGGGAACGCTGCATCAGGCCGACGCGTGTATGCGTGCGAAAATGGTTCTCCTGATATGAAACAGAATTGTAAAATGCGCAGAGAGCTAGTTTGTAGCCCAGACGTATAATGGATTTTAAAAAAAACATAAAGAAGCAACAAAACAGTAGCCAGCAGCAGAGGGAGGGGGGCGATGGAAGGCATATCCCTCTGATCCTGGTGAGTAATTCCCTGCAACGTCTCCTGACTTGTTGGCTCGCTATAGCTTTCCTCCCAGCAGCTCTGGAAATGATAGGTGGAAAAAGCCTCACTCATGTCTAACAACGTAGCTGGATATAAAAAACTAATACGCTTATTTGCCTATTTTTTTCACAGTTAGATGAGGAAAAGGAAAACAAAACTAGTCTTGCCTGTCCAAATCCTAAATAGTCCTTTTTCAACAACTTTATTTCTAATAAATCACACACCCACACACACGTGCCTCCCCATTGTATCTCCATGGAGTCACAGCTGCACAGTACAGAATGTCAGATAGAGACAGTATCTGTCAGTTCACCCGCACTCCTCGCTCATCTCTTTCACCCCGACGTTGCCCCTTAAAACCCCTTCAGGGCCAGAATCCTTCACCAGGCCTGCGACCTCTTGCACCCTTCCACATTGCAGCTGATGAACCACTGTCAGTCCCTCCTTTCACGAAACCTAAAAAGTGACGAGCCGCTCGACCCTGATCACTTACTCCTAAATCTGTTTACATTTCTTCTATTAATAATGTAGAAACGCACTTTCTGAAAGGTTCGTGCATACCATTAACTAATGGACCTCTTCCCCCGTCATGGGGGGGGGGGGGGCGCGGGCTGTACTTTGCCCCCCCCCCCCCCCCCTAGGTCTGCCATTTGTTAAAGCGGTCTCAATGCATCATGAGCTCATTTTCATAACTACATAAGGCCTGCCAGACTGAACAAAGCCCTTGATAGCAAGCTACTTGGATTTAAAATTAAGGCGCCGGAAGACAGGATTTATGTAATAGTGGCTCATCTTTACAACAGATGAAATTAACAAATAAATTGACACACAACAGGACAGAAATGAACAGTTATTTTTGCATCTCTTCAAGCGTGCACGGCCATTAAAACCTTGTTAAACTAAATTATGTTTATAGTTTTCTTTTTTTAAATCGCTCTTGTCTCTTCCCAGGGAGTGGACCGTCTGAGCAGCTGCCAGAAGCAAACTCCCACCACACAATGTTTCGTGCTGCCCAAAGTGCCGCCGCAGCTCCCTTCCACCAGGACTTTCCTGGGGAGGAGAGGAGGAGGAGAACCAACCTTAACCCTGGAGGACAGTTGGCAGATGCCTGCTGGACAAACTCAGACGTGTGTGTGGATTGTGTTTCATGTTGAGGTCTTAAGGATTTTGTATTTTTTTTTTTTTTCGGTTAATACATGCTCCTCCACCAAGTTACAGAGCAGCAGTCCCACACTAAACCCTGCGTTGGCTTCACAGGCAGTTTTGTGTTTCGGTCATTTTGAGACAAGACTCTCTTTGTAAACGTTTACAGCCTGCCATGCTGTTATCATGCATCGCTCTGTGTACAGTGACGCACAACAGCGGTGTTTACACAGACTTCAGCTGTAATATTAAACTGTACGGACATTATTGGTGTGGGGATTAGGGGTTTAAAGTCATGTTTCACATTTAAAAATAATAATATATATACATTTTATGCAGGCTTTATATAGTACAATAGTGCTACTTGATTCACAAATGAATAACTAAAAGAGGCAAAATACAAAGAATAGTGTAAAAAGATGTAATGGTAAACTAGTTATATTAATTATTTACTTTTACTTTTTTACTATTTAAATACATATACCCTCCATAATAATAATAATAATAATAATAATAATAATAATAACTTTCATACAGTACCTTATCAAAGTTCACATTTATCAGCATGTGATTACCTACAGTACATACAATATACTGGCATCCTGCTTCCTGGTATGTGCTTCCTCATCTTTTATCTTCATCACACTTGACCTGATGCCAGTTTTCCCAGAATGATGCTTACAAAGCACTTTACTGTTACACAGCTGTCAGGAACCGTATACACCTATGTAAATGAAACACCCATCGCCGGCTTACACCTATTAATGTGTATGTGACTAATCATTCCAGCGAGACAGAGCAACATCACGGCTCAGCTGCTGTATAGTGGTACTGTACATTCACCCCCGGTTAGTTACATAAGATATATGACTGACTTCATTGCTGGTAATTTCCACATGTTGTCCAGTAAAGAAGTTAGGTAAAGTGAGTCACTGGAAGGAAGTTATTTTCATGTTTGAGAGCATGCATGAATGATTTTAACTTAATGAGAAAGAACAAGTTGTACACCAGTTTCCCAACCTTTCCCAACCCTTGCACATCAGGCTGCCAGTTTGATAAGATGTAGTGTCAGGGATCATGGTCTGATAAGAGTTAGTTACTCCATAACTGTCTGTACTTTAGATTGGCAGATTAACAGTGAACCCTATGAACAGATGAGTCATTCTTATACAGTCTCTCATTGGGCTAACTTCTAGTTAATACAATAATAGTAAAATTAAAATATTACCTATTTTTCAGTTAAGGAGTATCGGACACAGTTAAACGCTGCTGTTTCTGCAATGACAGCTATTATAAGCTGACCATATTTAAATGCAATGGAGGCACCATTTTGTGGTTACAGCTGCTGTCAGAATTAAATGTGATAAAACCATTTGCAGTAACAATAAACCTGATATAGGTAAATGGGTAACAGAAGTTGATGACACTAACTAACATGATTTAATTCCAAACTTGTGAAATCTATAAGAACTCCCCAGCGTTTAAATTCCATGTAGACACTCTTTTTCTCCTTTGTTTGCTTTATTTTTTTTCACTGTGTATGTTTACAAAAAAATGTCTTACTATTAATCTTTCACAAAGTATTTGTTGCTAAAAATCCAAAATGTCAGATAAACACAGCATGCATGTGAGACCAAATCATTACCGTAATTAAAAAAAGAGTTTTAGTGAAATCCATTCAAAGTTTGACTTCTACAGGAATGAAAATATAATGAAAGTCATGATTGCTGTAAAATAAAAGGGAATGGGAATATCTCTGTTATATTTAATAACATGATGTGTGCGTTTGTGTGTGCAGACACTGACGAGGCGACAGTTCCACCAGCAGGAGGCGATATGGGAGCTGCTGCAGACCGAGGCCACCTACATAAAGAAACTCCGAGTCATCACTGATGTAAGAGCAAAGAGAACTACCGAAGTCTGCTGACGCATAAAGATAATGTACTGATAGACGTGTGGCTGTAAGATGAACTGGCTTCTGTAGTGAGATAGAAACAGTGAACCTCTTGTTAAGGTCTCAGAATAGAGATGACCTTTATCACCACTCGGTGAGCTGTCTGCTGAGAAAAAATAGTGTTTTAAGGCTGATAACCTTTGGCTTTTAAAGGCTTTATGTCAGCTTAGTGTCTGAACAAATTTAGAGGCCCATATTTTTTTTTTATCACCCTCCACAGCTGTTCCTGAGTGGGCTGCTGAACCTGCAGGAGAGTGGTCTGCTGACTGAGGCGGAGCCCCCAAAGCTGTTCAGTAACATCCAGGAGATCGTCCGCCTCCACACGTCCCTGTGGAACCAGGTCATGCTGCCTGTCCTGGAGAAAGCCAGACAGGCCCGGGCTCTGCTCGACCCCACTGACCTCCACCACGGCTTCAGGACGGTGAGTTGTAATCAATACTGTCAATATACTCATCTCAAGAAGTACTGCAAAAAAAGGGCTTATCAAGAAACCACGACCCTGATTAGTTTGTGGCTTTGTCTAATCTACTACAAGGAGATTTTAACTGGTTATGAAACAGTCTGAATTTAATACTAACGCCTCTATATGACCTACATAAGCACACAAGACCATCAGTGACAATATTGGCTATTTCTATATAGTAAATCTTAATGTCTGCCACCATGTCGGATTCCCGTTGAAATCAATTCAACTAGGCTGTGGAAACACTACTTCTTTTGTCCTCAGGGGTCGCCAGAATCAACAAGTATCCAGGCTAATAAGTCATTTAACAGATGAATTACTGTACTGAACATTATGGATGAAATGCTCAGTAATATGTAGCCCCAAAGCCCAAAAAAAGCAGTAAAAGGTTATCAGACAAGTCAAATGATACAGTTAGTGAAATAATTTAAACGTGGAAGTGGAAAAAGAAGTGCATTTACATATTCAGGACCCAGAATACCTTGTATATATGTTAATGCACAGTTTAGACATCCATTCTTGTCATTTTAGACGACTGCTATAAAATTCCCTTTTGTATCTAATACAGTGTTGGCTCTAGACTGAGGCAGCAGTAAATATGTTTTCCCTCAAGTTGAAGTCTTTGTTTTTGTGTGTGTTCAGTTTGGCTCCAGGTTCCAGCCCTACATCCGTTACTGCATGGAGGAGGAGGGCTGTATGGAGTACATGCGCACACTTCTCAGGGACAATGAGCTGTTCAGGACCTACGTCACGGTCAGTTCTCTCTGCTCTCCCGCCTTAAAACTACACCTACAGTACACAGTGTACTAATACACTCCTCGTTATTTTGCTCCATATTTCTGGCTCATTAAATGTTTCATTTCCTGTCTTTGTCTGGGTCAATTCAGTGGGGAGAGACGCATAAGCAGTGTAACCGTCTGAAACTGGCTGATATGGTAGCGAAGCCCCACCAGAGGCTGACCAAATATCCACTCCTGCTCAAGAGTATTCTCAAGAAGACGGATGAGCCGTCGGCCCGCGAGATTGTCAATAGCATGGTAAGGATGTAGAAAAATATACGCTGCTTTTTTCTAAATGACCCTGATAGAAGAAATGTCTGAGGGTATTTCTGTGCTTTTCCTCCTCAAGGTGGCCACAGTAGAGCGCTTTATCAACAGCGTGGACTCCCAGATGCGACAGCGGCAGGAAAAACAGAAGCTGGCCACCATTTCTGCTCGTATAGACTCCTACGAGGCCGTAGAGGGCAGCAGTGAGGAAGTGGAGAAGGTAAAAAGCGATTTATGAGGCTCCGGTGTTTGCCTGCTTCTTCAAAAAGCTCCGTCGGATGCAAGAGTTCATGTTGGATTCGGCTTCATGCGTCTCTCTTTTCCACCTCTTTCAGATCCTCAAGGAGTACAACCGCTTCGACCTAATGGCTCCCATGAGAGGAATATCTCCGGAGGAGACTCGACAGCTGCATCTTGAGGGAGCGCTGAGGATGAAAGAGGGCAAAGACAGTAGGGTAAGTCTGACTCACATGACTCCTTGTAAACACATGATGAGCTCTTATACATCTGGTTTCTCACGTTAGCTTCTCAGTCTCGTCACATTTCACACAAAATGGTTGATGTATTAAATAAAATGTCAGACCTGAGATGAGTTTATTTTCCTCCGTAGATGGAAGTCTATTGTGTCCTGTTCACTGACCTGCTGCTAATTACTAAGCCAGGGAAAAGAGTGGAGAAAGTCAAAATCATCCGCCAACCTCTTCTCATTCACAATGTCGTCTGTAAGGAGCTCAAAGACCCCGGTGAGTTCTCAGATGAAGCAACAAATGATCATTTTCAGAACTGAGACATGTTGTTTTTGATAAATATATATAAAAAAAGACAAATCTGATGTTTCCAAATGACAAATTTTGTCAGAAAAACGCAGTGTATTCAGTTTATACTAATATGGAATAAAGAAAAGCACAGACACCTAACAATTATTATTCTGCTCACTCAGACATGAAACTGGATAATTAGCTGTGATTGTCTTCCCTGTTAAAGCTCTTTTTTTTTTTTTTTTACTTTTTTGTGTCTCTGTAGGCTCATTTATCCTCATCTACCTCAATGAGTTTAAGAGTGCAGTGGCAGCCTACACTTTCCAAGCCAACAGCGCCACCCAGGGGCGAAGCTGGATCGATGCAATCTGCAATGTCCAGGTTGGAGAGGCACTTCATATCTTATTAAATGCTCAATGTGTGGAGCTGGGGGATAAGAGTCACATACGGCATTTTGTGGTTTGCATACTTAATGTAGTTCTGTAATTATACTGCAGAACCAGCTCCAGAGGCTCCGCAATGAGGAGGTCCTCCGGCAGCAGAGCAGTCTGAAGAGATGTACAGAGGGCGAGTTAGAAGAGGAGGAGGAAGACGAGAGCAGCAACTCCACTACTAGCTCCCCATGCCTGAGGCACAAAGACCAGCAAAACTCAAGGTACTACAGCGTACAGCTGGAAAGGAATAAAGAAAAATGAACGCCTGCTATTGTAAATGTAATTTCATCATTCAAAAATAGCAAATTAGACCCACTTGTTTTCTTGACATAGTTTAAGATATGATTGGAATCATGTTCTGGTCAAAAGAAGCTTAAAAGATTGAAATCCACATTGGCTTAGAGGTATAGTTCAACATTTTGGGAAACAACAGTACTCCAGGATATCACTGTTCCCGGCACATAAAACCACAACACGTCTTGACACAGATAGTTTTGAAAGGAATAAAGATCTAACGTGTTAAAGAGCGAGCTTAAGAACGGCTGGTTGGAGGATTTTGCTACCTGTGGTTACCTGTAATCATGGTAAGCTTCATGGTAACAGATATGGATATTCTTATCTAAGTAAGAAATGAAGTAAGTGTATTTCCCAAAATGTTGAACAATTCCTTTGATGCCTGCAATTGTAAATGTAATTTCATGACTTACATTAGAAAAGATAAAATCACACACGCCTGGGGCTCCTTTACTAGAGCTTGTGTTCTGGGCAAAAGATAAGATAAAAAGAAATCCACACTGTCTTAGAATTTAGTACGTATGAATGTGGCTTACGTTAAGCAGATTTTACTTCTTACACACTTTCTTTCTTGTTGTTGTAAGCTGCCTAACCAACCAATTAACCAACCAAACCTCTCCTTTCAGTCAATCCGATGGTTCCACTGAGACCCTGTCAGTGATGGACATTGATGAACCAGGTGAACACCAGGATCCTCCTTCCCCAAACATGAACCTCGATGGAACCGCTGAAAAAGACGCCGACGTGGCTCCACTGTGTGAAAGGTCTGAGGTCCCGCAGTCTCAGTGCACGAGCCCCCGCAGAGTCCCCTCCACCATTTACTCTGAGCACGAACAGGAGATAGGGCCTGACGAAGAGGAGCTGGACCCCCAGTGTCGCTCTCTCTCCATGGACAGCGCCTACGGTACCCTCTCCCCCGAATCCCTCCTGAGAGAGCTTCAGCCACAGCCCGGCCAGAGCGAGGGAGAGGAGACCGAGGAGGAAGAGGGAGACAGGGAGGGTGAGGAGGCGGAGCAGGAAGAGGCAGGAATTGAGGAGGTAGAAGAAGAAGAGGAAGAGGATGCTGCCTCACTGGGGTCCCAGCTGTCAGTAGTCCAGTCCTCTAAACCTCGCCGGCGGCCTCACATTCAGCCACGATTCCACTGCCTCCAGAGGCTGTCCACTCTGGCCTTATCCCGCTCTGAGGACAATCTGCTGCAGCGCTTCCACGGTAAAGCCCCAGTATCTCACAAACACTCACTTCGCTCTGAGGTTCAGGACCAATCACAGTGCAGGGACATGAACACGTCACCGCTGGCACACAGTCGAAGCCTGTCAGAGCTGGGCCAAAACTGCCTGGAGCTGTTTTCCAGTGACCTCGACCAGTCTGAAGACTGCTTGAGCATGAGCATGCCATCCGACAAACTCTGTGCCACCCTGAGGAGGGCGGAGGTCAGGCACGGCTACAGGGCGCCTGACGGACCTTGTGAGGGTAACGAGTCTCAAAGCAACAGCTCAGACGGGGAAACGGCTCCATCTGCCTGCGTAGATAAGAAAAACGAGTCGACAGCCACTGGTGATTCAGGGGAAGTGACATCCAAAAAGAGGAAATCACCAGTCCAACAGCACAAGAAGCTGACTCTAGCTCAGCTGTATAGGATACGCACCACTCTTGTCCTCAACTCCACACTCACTGCATCGTAAGTCGTCACTTCTGTCATACCCGTTAATGGCTTTACGACATTTAAAGGTCCGGTGTGTAACATTTAGAGGGATCTTTTGGCAGAAATGGGATTATCACCTGAATGTAAGAATCACTGTTTTTTTCTTACCATAGAATGAGCAGTTTATATCTACAGATGCTTCCGGTCTTCCCTGGAGTCTGCCATGTTTCTACAGTAGCCCAGAAGGAAGAAAACCAAACACTGGCTCTAGATAGGGGCATTCACGTTTTTTGCGTGTATCACGGCCGCCATTGTTTCTCCTTCGTATTTGGGATGTGAGGGTGTAGTGAGTGTGTTGCGATCTGCAACCACACCACTAGATGCCACTAAATCCTACACACTGGACCTTTTTAAAGGAGTAGTTTGATAGGTTGACAGCAGACTTGTTAAGTTAGATGAGAATATTGAATATTCATTCATGTCTGTACAGTAAATATGAAGCAACCACCAGCTTGTTAGCTTAGCTTAGCATTAATACTGAAACTAGCAGAAATCTGCCTACGAGCACCTTTAAAGCCCAAGCCTAATTAACCAAGAATTATTCCAGCATGTAACACTGTGGTTTTTGTACAGTTTAAACAAACAAGATAAAACATGTTCAAAAGTGAGCTTTAGAGGTGCTGGTAGGTTGATTTTGCTACCTTTTGGACAGAGCCAGGCTATTTTCACTCTTTATGCTAAGCTAACTGCTGCAGCCTCATAAGTAGCGTATAGACATGAGAGTGGAAATGAATGTGTGTATTAATGTTTTTTTTTCTTTTTTCCAGGGAGGTATAACCACTCTTTCAAACAGCTGACCAGTGGCACGTGGGCATAATAAGGAACAACACTTGTTTTGCTTCGATGGACTGAATTTCTTGAGACACAAATGCACTCTCTCTTGCTGCCCTCTCCCTTCCTGTTGCTTTTTGGACTCTGATAGTACCATTTTTGCATTTGAACAATAACAAACTTTTTTTTTTTTTTGCTGTTGCATTGGTTTCCGAATTACTCGAGTGGAAGGGAGAGGCAGAGAGACATTAACTGCTTGCACTTTGCAACGGAAGTAGCGTTATGGGGGCTTGGACCTTAAGGTGGACTGGCGGAGGGGGGTGTGTATGTGTGCAAAGTGTGGAAGTGCTGCACCTGCAGAGGGATGAGACATCCAGGTAGCGGTCTTAAAACCTCATCCCTGCGCTTTGCACCGGAGAGAAGGTGGAGCTGAATCCTGCATCTTCTCCGTCTCTGTTGAGTCGAAAAAGAAAGAGACTTTTGAAAATCTCTACACGTGGCAAAAAAAAAAAAAAAAACAGCACCAAGGACATCCTCCTAATATTTGTACTACTCCTGGTTTGCTTCAACAAAAGAAAAAAAATGAGAATTGCACAGTTATCTATGTTAAGTAGAAGAATCACTAAGGAGTGAATTTACATTTACAGTCACACAATGAATTAGAATTTATTGTTTGCTGTTTGTGTCTGCTCGTGTACAGATGTGTGTGTGAGAGTGTGTGAGAATGTGTGAACGAGTGTGTGTTGAAATGATACATGGTCCTCGATTCCTGACTGAACCAAAACTGATTCCCATCTCCTGTGAAGACCTGAGTAGCTGGTAGGCTCCCAACAAAAAAAGTGCGCCCAAAGGTCCAAAACAGCCAGTCATGATTTCATAAAAACAGCTGCATCACCACACAGATGGACCTTCTTTACTGTTATCTTGGTTGAACTAATGCAATTTGGTATGTGGAACTAATGAAAAGATGAGTTGATTTCCTAAAAAACAATGACTGAATTTAATAAGCAGTTGTGAGGAATTTCCTGCACTATATATATATATATTTTATGGCTTAAGTGTCCACTCACTCTTGAGGCCTAAATGTAGTAAAACCACATACACAAAAGCACAAGCAAGAACAAGCTCATAGGGGGGAAAAAAATACAAAAAGAAGTCGACACTTTTCCTGGGCCGGAGCACCATTTTCTCCGAGACATTTCATTGCTTGTGTTTCTTTAGGATGGTAACACTAATAAGAGATTGAAGATAAGGTTTGGGTTGGATATTCTGAGTGAATCTGCAGAGCTGGCTTTAACACTTTTTCCAGGAGATTGATCAAATAAAAAAATAAAAAAAACTGCATTGACCACCACAGAAACTTCACATTCACACTTGATGTGTTCAGCTTTTCAGATCAGTGATTTATAACCTTATTCCAAACATTTCCCAAACCAAATAGGTTAACTCTGTTTACTTTTAGTTTTTTTTTGTTTATGTGTAATATTTATTATGCCTGCTATGTTTTATATATAAGATATTGTTTATATTGTTTGCTTCCATGATTTGTAAATTTTTTTTGTGGATGTAGTCTTAATAATTTCAACTTGCCAGGCATGAATGTGCTATGAACCAAAATCATGTGTTTCCTCTTTCAGGAATGACTTTAAAGTGTCTTACAAAATAAAAATGCTAAAATACTTTACAATCCCTCTTTTAATGGTTTAATCCATTGTAATGGAGTGATTTAAGGGGGAAAGGCTGAATCTGAATGGCATCGCATTAAAACAACATGAACTGGTCGCACCGCTCTCGTCTCCCATGTTTTTAACGCAGACAGACAGACAGCAGGTGGCAAAAGAACGTGTTCAGGGAGGTGAAGAAGAATTACAGCAGAGAGGTCGTGACCATGTGTGGCAGTAATTCATTGCATCATCTTTTTTTATCTTATGTCATAACGTTAAGCCGAAACTGTGGCAGCGAGTGTAAAACGGGGCCAGTTTTCAAAGCACTGGAGGAAGTACTCTTTTTCCTAACATACCACAAGGAGTTTTTAACTGGTTATGAAACAGTCTGCCTCTATATGACCTACATAAGCACATGAGACCATCAGCAAGAACATTGGCTATTTCTACAAAGTTATTATTAATGCCTGCCACCAGGTCAGAGCTGGTGGAAACACTACTGCTTTTGTCCTCAAGGGGTGTCAGAATCAACAAAAAATTAAAGTTCTGACAGGAGCTTTCAGTAAAAGTAACAATACCACACAATAAAAACACCATTTATAAATAAAAGTCCTGCATTCATAATTTTACCTAAAGGACCAGTGTATAGGATTTAGTGCCATCTAGTGGTCAAGTTGCTAATTGCAGCCATACACAGCTAAGCTAGGCGTGTAGGAGAAACAATGGTGGCTCCAAATTCACAAAAAACATGTAAGTCCTCATCTAGAGTCAGTGTTGGGTTTGTCCGTTCTGGGCTACTGTAGAAACATGGTGGTTCAATATGGCCCACATTGACAGTATGGGTGCACTCCGTACAATGGGACATTTTAAAAGTAACAAAAACGTAACGATTTCCTGATTATACACTAATGAAAACATACCTATAAATATTATATTACGTTTACTGCCAATAGAACATCCTAAATATTGCACACTGGATCTTTTAGGTAGAAAGTAAAAAGTAGTAGCAAAATGTCTTTTAAATATAAAAATAGAAGTACTCAGTAATAGTACTGTATAAAGTAGCTTTAAAATACAGTGCTTGAGTAAAGGTACTTGGTTACTTTCCACTTTGCTGATTTTAATATATGCATATAGGTGCAGCATTGTACTCAACTAATGAAATGAACGGATACATAAAATAACCAGTAGATTAAACATTTCATTAAATTCCTGCCTACATGTTAATACATCAGACATAATAATCCAAAAATATGATCTATAACACTAATCCCACTGTGAATTCAATCTGCATAACAATTACTTACAAACTAGTTTGCTGATAATACTTTCATACTTTTATGAATTGTAATAGAGTATTTGTACAGAGCAATATTGCTACTTGCACTCCGTCCACCACTGCATATTTATAGTTTAGTGATGAAAACAATTATCTCTGCAGATAGATTCAAGTGCGTATATTAGTTAAGTCTGACGCTTAGAAATACATATTTTTCATATAGTCTTTTATCCCATCTTGTATGATGGATAAAGTATTCATATCCTTTACTCCAGTCAGAAAAAATAAAAAGACAACAATGAAAAATATATTCTGAGAAATGTACTTAAAGTATCAAAAGTAAAAGTACTACATTATGCAGATTGACCCTTCCAAAACAGTATACTGTCATATCACTTTTTTATTTATTATTTATGTGTAATGTCATGTAATGCTGTAACTGGTCAAGATGGAGATATTTTTTCCTGTTTTGTTATATAGTAAATCTATAGCTCATTTATGTACAATATCAATATTAATTGTAACTATAGGAGATATATGTATAAAGTAGAAAATTTGTAGAAAAAATAGAACTACTCAAAGAACCACCGTACCATGTACATGCACAACTGTAGATTAACATTAGATAATTTGTCATATCACACTATAATGCAAGAAGATGTATTACTCTACAGTATCTGTCAACAATTACTTACATATTTTATATTATTAAATTATAAAGTTTAAACAGGGGGGTTAAAGTAAAGGCTTTCAAAGCTCTAATGGAAAAATGACTTTGGGTTACTTCGAGTCAAACGCCATTCATCTGTCCAGTCTAGTTTCTGGGAACTCAGTCAGATCACATATCTTGTCCAGCTGTCTGTCTGGTCCGACCGTCTGCTTCTGGTTCCCAGAAAGTTTAGTTGAGCTCAAATCTGCCCCGCCTTGATAACAAAGTGTCCAGCACACATGCAGGGCAGAGCGGGGCCTGATGTCCTGCAGCAACATCATGGCCAAGGTGTATTTACAGGTGATTATATCAGCTAATCGGTGGATTACAGCATGTTGAGTCCACACAAGCCTCTAAGCTGCAGAGAAAAGACAGTGCGGTCCTGTGGGATTTTCTGTTTAATCTGGTCCCAGAATGCAGCGGCCCCTCCCGCTCTCACATCTGGCCCCGTCGGGATTTACTCTTGTAATCCTTGATTTTAAAACAATTTTATTATGCTTTAACGCTGATACGCTGGACTTTAATTATTAAAATGCAGCTTTCTATTTTAGCAATGAAGTAATTACACATCCTTGTTCTATTAGCCTTCACTAAGTAAGTAATGAGGTCGTGCCACAGTCAGCTGTGGCCGCATGATGGCTGCAGGCCGGCTGCAACCAAACACATTATTTTCAGGTATGTGATTTTATGATGAGGCAGACTACCTACCTGCTACCTATCTAATGCATTGCACCACTCTTTGCTCTCTCTCTCCTAGACAGACTGACAGCCAAAGCCCTGATAAAAGCCAAAAAGTGTCATCTTTGACACCTGACTGGCATATATAAATGTTGAGTCTGTGTTCTGTGCATGAGCTCTGGTGGAAATATACACTGCATGCAGCTGGGGCAGTGGACGGGTTAACACCACCTGCTGTGGCAGATGTCAAAAACCATGCTGTAAAAAATGTCCGATTAACACAAAGGGGCACTTTGGCAAATCCTGATTATAGGAGCACTTTCATTTATTAAACTCTGCCAATCCCCTGTACTCTTTCTGAGCGGGGATTAAAACCAGGTAGACACCATTGTCTATCTAAACAATCCCTCTTTAAGCTCTAGCTGTTTCCTGGTGCCCTGGACAGGCCTGCCTGCCTGCCTGGCTGGCTGGCTGGTCGCCTGCCTGTAATCTCAGTAGGGGCTTATAGGTCACTACAACCACTACACATTCCCATTCATCAACATCATCCCCTTTAGAGGGACTAGGTGATTGGATTTAGGACTATGTTTTACAGGCGCAGAAAAAAAAGAGAACAGCAAACTAAAGCGTGTTTACAAGAGCTGTGCTGTGAAAAGGCCCATGGACGAGTGGCAGCCATATGGAATGGATAACCCTGTGAACATCTGCCCTCGATCAGTACCACGCACTGCCGTGGCTTTGACCTTCACATGGTGCACAGGAACATCTGGCCCGTTTGTGCTCTCGTGGACCCCCTGAAAACAGCATTTAGCAGACAATTAGCAGCAGAGGAATCCATATGGGATTTGTAAAACTTGCAACACAGTGATGATGGAGGGTTCAGTGTTCCTACCAGGTTAAAAATGTATTGGTTATGGTCAACACCAGGGTTCTGATCAGCAGTGGTGGAAAGTAACTAAGTACATTTACTTAAGTATAAAGTATTCTTGGTAAAAGCGAATATTGTAGTTTTTACTCCACTATATTTATTTGATCACTTTAGTTACTTTACAGATTCCGATTATTCAGACAAACTACAATCAACAAATAAATTATGATGTACTACTATAGGTTAGAATAATATATGTATTTATTGATCAGCAGTATATAAAATAATTAAAATTAGCTCCACCTTTAACTGCTGCAACATTAAAGTCACACATGAATGCATCAATGATTATAATCCAATAATATAGTGCATATGATGCTTAAATGGGCCATTCTGCATACTTAGTACTGAGTACTTTTACTTTGGGGTACTTAAAGTACATTTTGATGCTATTACTTTTGTACTTTTACAATAAATCCTCCATGCTTCAGATCTGTCAAGTGTTAATCAATATAGCCTGACTGATACAGGATGTTTGAGGTTGATACTAATATCGATATTTGGAATTTATTAAATTTATTTATTAAATATTGCCCAATAATTATTTGGGTGTGACCCATTCAAATTAATTCCTTAAGTGCGCATGTGCAAAAGAACAATAACACCATAATAAACACAACAATAATATGTCAGTGTTATTTATAAGTTTTGTTTTATTTATAAGTTGATGAGCAGTGAAAGCCAGCAAATCCGTGAGCAGATGATAACGAGGATGAGGATGAAGAAAAAGAGAGCCAAACTTTGAATTATAGCTTTTTGTGCAGCAATGATTGCTAAATCAGTATGGAGGTATAAAAACACAGACCGGGTACGATTCGACCCCTCGAGCTTTGCTTGTACAGAAATGTCACCATAAATAACCATGAGGTCTAACACCTCACTGTCCCTCCACTGACGACCTCTACTACTGCTATCTACCATGTTTTTATTCAACTGTAACAAATGTTGACATGTTTATGTCAAATGATGTTAACACGGCCATGAAAATGTATCCGAATCACATATGAGGAAAACAAACAAAAAAAACTAAATTCAGATTTGGGCCAATTTTGCCTGCAGTGTAAACGTAGCATCTTGTCATGTTTAGGATGTCTATTAGTTGTAAGTAGTTCCACCAAGGACACATTTCCCCCTAAAAACTTCTCACATGGCTTCATTATAATAACCATCTGAGCTCCAAAGAGGTCAAATTATCCAGTCTAAGTCAGAAAGAAGCAAAGATTACAGAAAGTTTTGTTTTTTCTTCTTCCTTGCCTCATTAATCATCTCACCACCCCTCAGATTTATCTTGCGACCCTTTGAAGGGGCCTGAGTCCTAGGGTTGGGAACCACTGGACTAAACTACTCAACTGTATCTAAAATAGATTAACTGGCTCCACCTTGACTAACTACAATAGTAAAATACTATTGATGATTAACAATCTAATAATGTAATATATTATATTAAATTAAATTATATTATATGAGTCACAAATGCCAATTTCTGCAAAATAAATACTTTTACTTTTAATACTTTAGGTAAATTTAGCTGATAATATTTTTGTACTTTTACTTTACTACTTTACTAAGCATTTTTTTTATGCTGAATGAATATTTTTACATTTGCATATTGATATTGTTTCCTTCTTACTTTTGGATGCTTAGACAAAATGAAGCATGCCTTTCACACAATCCCCGACAGTAGCAGCAAAGGTGATAATGTATTGCCAGCTGCTCTCTGGCATAAATTCATTCCACAAAGATGTGGCATATGCTAGAGGATCAAATTTCGTTATCCTCGTAAAAGTTGTGTTGTTTTCTAAATTGAAAGACCATAAGGTCCCACTTTCACGCGACAATATAAACTCCTCACCTCAATAATTGTATCAGCTCTTAAGAAGCTTACTGTAATTACAATATTGTCTTCTTAGAGCAGCAGCCTAAAAAACACGAAATACAAATCACCCATTTCTAAATTAAATGGAAACCCGTTCAAAGAGAAGCTATACTAGAGGAGGACAGAGGGATTAACATTTAATATTTACAGCACAATCACACAATTAATCTGACAATGTGTTCTGTGTCTAATACCTGAACTGACTGGCCCTCCACCATTGTCAGTGGTGTGCACAGGCAGGTGGGAGTAGCAGGAGCAGGGGCTGTTTACAAGTGTGCAACCCATCATCCAAAGTGGAATATGTGCACTCTAACCAGAAACACTTTTGAAAGTAGTGTGGTCACTAACATTATAGTTCTAAACATGCATAAGATTATAAAAATAAAAATAAAAATGTGCCAAACCCGGCACAAAATGTTTGCAATTCAGCCAACTAGACATAACAAGAAGAACTTGAGACAAATGCTGTTTCTATCCTCCATATTGTTGTTCTCTGGTTGTTAGATATGACAGTCACATATCAGGTGCCACTACAGTTATCATAGTGACTTTTATTCTTAGTGATCGCAAGCTTCACAGAAGACTCACACCATTATTTTCTTTGTCAATTAGTGTGCCTATTATTTCCTCAATTACAGGTCCAGTGTGCAACATTTAGGAGGATCTATTTGCAGAAAGTGAATATAATATATACAGGTATGTTTTCATTTGTGTGTAATTAACTAAAAATGAGAATCGATGTGTTTTCGTACCCTTAGATTGAGACGTTTTTATCTAAAGTTGATCGCTATGTTTCTACAGTTGCCCAGAATGGACAATCCAAACATTGGCTCTAGATAGGGGGCGTTTGTGTTTTTTGTGGCCACGTAGTTTCTCCTACACACTGGGAACGGGAGGGTGAAGCGAGGGACCTTCAACTACACCGCTAGATGCCCCTATCTTACACACTCATCCTTTAAGTATATTTTAATGCTAATACTTTTACTTGGAGTATTTTTACACTGTGGTATTGCCACTTTTACTTAAATAAGAGATATACGAGCACTCATTCCACTATTGATACATTTTGACTACAGGCCTACGACCACAAAACAGTGCTCGTAATACCAGTCATCACATTATAAAATGAAAAGTTTACTAGACCAAGATTGTTTTCACGATGTACACCATGATATTTTCAGCTGTACCACAGCATACAACTTTCACGTTTTAACAGGATGATTTAGTCGGTAATAACGAATATACTATTTTCTTGTCTATGTGAAACGTTAAGCGTGATACGTGATACTTATACTGGTGAAAACAGGCTGAGTAATGGGTGTGATGAGCCGGGTGGTTACGAAGCTAATGGAACTTGTGATGGTGTTGTAAGCGAATTTGGAGTATTATTGGATTATTGTTTAGGTGTCATTCAATATGACAATATAAGTTTTAAGTGTTAGAAAATAGCAGTTGGATGGTTATAACAAGCAATGTTCATTGTTATTATAGAGGTAATATGTATACATATAACATAAAAACCATCTTATAACGATAAACTGTATATAATGGGATACTAGTCCGTTTTTATGTGTCTGGCAGCAGCAGGCTTCCGTAATATCTCGACGCAGAGGTTGAAGTGAGAGAATAAGATGCTGAGGTGTCTTTAAAGGGTTAACAGGAGGAGGCGCAGCAGTGGTCAGCTCGTTCTGGGTGGAGTGAAGTTCAGACTATGTACTAATACAACAAATTAGCCAAGAGAGGAGGACTGCATTATGGCTGAGTGAAAAACACCAAGACAACTAAAAAAAAAAAAAAAAAAAAAAAGATAGAGAGAGAGAAAGAGAGAGAGAAAGGCTCCAGGTCGAAAACAAAGACGTTAAACAGTGAGAGCTGAGATGAGTGATGTGAGTGAAGAGTCGCTGCTGGATTATTTCTACTCCACCGGAGGCAGCTCTGGCAGGGTCAAAAATGCAGATATACTGAAGACATTTAAGCCCTTTATTGGCCATAGTGACTTGCAGTTACGTGGTAAGTAGCGAGTCGTTGTATCACGGATGAAAAACGGATTAAAATATATATATATATCCGACAGGAAATGGGGAAATGTGGAAATGTGATCGTGCAGCGTCAGTCTCTGCTCGGTGTGTGTGTGTGTGTGTGATGGCACAGATAATCAAATGCCCGCGTGTTTGCCTCATATTTTAATTTATATGATTCTTTTCTAAAACGCAACATCCCCCAAAAGTCTGCTTTCCTCCTCCTCCTGTCCTTTTTCTTTGTTCCCTGTTGTAAAAGGAGGACATCTGGTTTGCATTAAAAGCCCCTCAACATATCTGCAGGAGTTGTGTCATTTCCTCCCTCAGGCCAACTCATCAGACAGAACCTGAAACCAAACCATCTCCAAAAATATGTCCCCAAATATGTCACATGAAAGGCCCCTCAGGCAGAGCTGGGGGTCCCTCAGAGGGATATGGTCACCATTATAGAGGTCTAGCTGGGTTAGTGTTTGCTGTAAAGCTGTGGCTCTCTCTGCTGTTCCTCTCCACCCACTTACTCTACAGATGCTTATGTAATCCTGGTCTGAATCATAACACCTAAAATTCCTCTCGTGTTTCTTTAGACAAATGTTCCCGGCTGTAATGTAATGGGCTCTTTTATGGGCGAGGTACACCCAGCTAATGCAGCCCTGTCTATCCCTCGTAGAGCTCCACTGGGTCACTTTTTAAAGAAGATGTAACACAAATTAAAAGTTGAATTCAAAAGAAATAAAAAAACAGTCAGCTCAAACTATTGAACTTCCTCTAGTGGTGCACAGAGGAATCTCTTATATAAATTGATTGATGATAAGAACATAAAATACTCCCAAAAGATCCATTTAAATCAGCCTGACGCGTAGTAACGTTCATGCACGTAGCACATGCATGCATCTATGATTAGTTAGAAACTAAAATGTGATGACAAGATACAAAGCGGAGGTAAAATTAATCGTTCAAAAACACTGCGATCGTGGCTCCAAACAGGAACTATTGGGAAAAGAAGTGCAGATCAAGAGTGACTCTTTTCAAGCAGAAATGTAAAAATGATGATGGTTACAGGTTCTCAAATGTGAGAATTTCAACGTTACATTGATTAGCTTGGGTTTTGGATGGTTGGTCAAACAAAACATTTGAAGAGTTTCTGATGTTCTACAGACCAAACAATTAGTTTAATTAATTAATATCAGCAGATTCGTCGATTCATCGAAATTATCTTAGTTGCAGCTCTAATGTTAGCTCACTTTACATATACATTGCTGTGACATTACTGAACCAGTTTGATGACTTTTCTTCCGTGTTACTGTCACACTACATTTAAGCAGTTTTATGCTTTGTTACACAAGAATCTAACCAAAGTTAACTAACACTAGCTAACATAGTTCACCAGAAGCTGTTGGTCACACAAGACAAAGTAAGGCTGCAGAGTATTAGATGAGCAATATTCGACTTAAATTTAACTTTTTATTTGTAATTATGTAATTTATTTCTTTACAGTTACATACTATAGTTGGCCTGACTGTTGTATTTAACTGCTTTAGTTTTAGCTAGCTACATAAAATAGATCCGTGTCCTATTGAATCCCTTTAGAGATAAGACACACATCGCTGACTAATGACTAACAATATCTACATTTTAACTGCACAATACATATGACCCAGAAAACAAATAATGAGCGAGTAATGATTCATTATCCATTAAAAAAAAAGGAGGGGGGGGGGGGCTTTACCTTTGGCCCTGCCTGAAATACAAACATATTGTAACCTCCCTAAATCATTATCCAAAGTGACCTTGTGTTGCGGCATGTACTGTCCAGATGCTATGTCAGCACTGCAGTTGTTGACAGAGGTTTAGAGAGCTGCCTTGATACTCCATCTGACACGGCCGTCCAATTAGAAAAGTGCTTCCCACACATTTAAAGTCTGTCATAGCATGTGGTTGCAGACTTTCATGTCATCATTGTGATGATAGAGTTTTAATCATAATTAAGTCCACATGCACGACTGGATGTAGACCTCTAATGGGGTTGCTTTTTTTTATCAGATCGGAAAAAACTGGGGCATGGTGGGAAGTGAGGCGCTGTGTGTGTGTGTGTGTGCGCGCACATGTGTGTTGCTTGTTTGTACAGGCTAATAAATAACTAACACATAAACTATGTTACTCACTGTGGTGAGCAAGGAATTCTTTTGTTGGGACAGATGTAAGTGGCTGCTTCCTTTGGATTTCCTGTTGTTGTGAACGTGAGCTGTGCAACTATCTCACTACAGATGTTCTTTCCGCCCCACATCAGGAAAGGGAAGCACTTCAATTGTCCCCGAGCCACGCAGGCCTATGTACACCTAGGCATGAATGGAATACCTACGCCTGGAAAAGATTCTTGCTTGTGTAGCCTGGGCTGATAACCAGAGTCAGCTCTTAATCACACAGTCTGCACACGTCTGAATATCTGCTCACTGGCGTAAACAAAGGCAGATTGCTTTATCTGATGAGCTCTATCAGCTCATCAGAGGGAGTTTGTTTGGTTCCCACAGGAAAGATTTACCGTCGGTCTTAAGTGACTCAGGTTTCTGCCCCTGGGGATGCACTGGGATCTGTTTGTATATTTCCTGGATGGGGACCTCTTTTCTTTCCATTTTTGTTGTTGTTGTTTTTTTTTGTCAACTATTTCTTTGCATTGTGAGCTTGGTGCAGCCTCGTCTTCAGTTAACTTCAGTTAAAGACACATAATCCAGCAGCTCATCCTGCAGACTGTAGCTCACAAACCACACATATATTGGAAGCAGATGCTATCACGTACTAGCTGCATCTGTATTTAAAAATACATTATTGGTTTTATAGTAAATGAAACCTAATTCAAGCTCCTTTTATTCACGTCTATTTCTGTCACCTCCATAAAATAGCTGAGCTGAGTTTGTGCAGTTTCTTTGACATTTTTGCTGTTGTATTACTGAATGTGAGGAATTTTGAAGCTATATTTAGTTTTCAGTTTTCTCACATTAACATATTTTCCCCTGCAGCTAAATACAGAGAGGAATTCAAACTCATCATTGACCGAATTGCTGTGGTGAAGTCAGAAAATGTAAGTAAACTATGAAAATATTTTGACCTTTTGTGGAAAAAGCTTTGCTCCCATGTATTCTTTGTTCATATTTTAACACGGAGTCATAAACAGACTGAACGGTTGTTGTGGCAATAAAACTATCATGACTTATCCAGGAGGTGTCCAACCTGTTTGTAAAGTACTGTTTGTACCCACTGGTTTCCCCCCAAATGAACTGCAGCTGCAGTTCTCATTTCCCTTGAAACTATTTTCACATATTGACGAAATGTTACTGCAAGATTAATCAGTATAGGCTGGATTTATTTTTTAATTCATTTTCAATATTTTTTAATGGAATGGTTGGACATTTTTGAGCTTGATGAGAAGGTCGACACCACTCTTCACATCGACAGTATATAATTAGTGGACAGAGCTTCCGGGACTAAAAGGAAAAGTCAACATGGAAGTGTCTTAAATTGTGCATTCTTTGTAATGGCCAGCAGGGGGCATCTCCATTGGCTGCAAAAAGAAGTCAGATAGTATGGAGTCTTTCGGAGAATAGACTCTACTTCTCAGTTGATTTTTCAGTAAACAGTTTCCTAATGAGTTTAGGGTCTTAGTCACTAGTTTTAAGTCTTCCTCCATACAGCATGATGTTCATTTTGTAATTGATGGTCCCATTTAGAATAAAACAGACAACAAGCATTACAACAAGTATTCTTTAGGGCATGGCAACCTTCTCAGTGAGTCCATCCAGGACAACGCACAAAACTCAGATCAAACTGTCAAATTAGACAGTTCTGACCAAATACAAATAAAGATTCTGTCACTGCATGGCTTATTTCTCGCGTAAAATCTTTTCAGAAACATATTTTAGTGTACTGTTTATCTGTAATACGAGAACGTGTGAGCAGGTGAGGTGCCATTGTTTTCTGCTACCGAGTTTAAACAAAGTGCTGTCAATGAGCGCAGTTTTTTCCACAAAACAAGTTACAGTTACCTAATTAAAAATTCTTAAAATCACATCTTTTTCTTCTCCATCATTACAAAAAACCCAGAATTTATGAATATGAAAGTATTGTTACTACTGGACACAAGATGAATCTTGCTTTACTGAAATGTTCAATCTCAGCATTTCTGCACTGGAGGCTTAAATTATTCACATCACTTGTATACTTGTATATTTGACCATGACTTGCTTTTAAAACAGTCGTAAAGTCACTAAAACCTGCTCATACGAACACGTCTTAAACTCATTTATAAGAAGAGCTCAGAGAAACTCTCCTCCTTCAGCAGCAGAATGTGAAAACAGGCTGCACATACATCATTCTGCACAGTGAAGGTCAAACGTCCAAGTGAAATAACAACAAGCAAAAAACACATTTTTGACTGGAGGGTGACTTTCAAAATGAAGCATTATGAATAAATAACATTCCCATTATTGGATAGACACATAAAAGAAACCACACGTTATTGTGAGAAAGACAGTATAACCCACATGACTGTGCTATTTGACTGTATTTGTGACAGGGAGAGAAGTATCTTGTCCTAAAGAAGAAATACAGGCAAATGCTGCAGGAGCGAGACACCAAACATCACAGGGCAGAGGGGGACGGACAGAGACATTCAAGCCCGGCCAGAACTCCGGCCACCGTACAGTGGGACGCCGCAACTTCTCCTCCTCACCAGAAGGAACAACAGGATGAGCCGATGTCATGTGGAGAGCCCGACAGTGCTGCAGAGGTGAATTTAAAATCAGCTTGCTGTGTCCTATTCTACTTGTAAAAACAAATTAAACTGTGGGGCAAGCTGTGGATGATTCAGCAACAACACGGGGCGCTGAAATGCAACTTGCTGAATCCGCTATCGCCGCAGCACACCAAGTTTACCCTTTATGTGAATGACACATTTATTTCTAAACAGGGCTGTCTTTGTTAGCGTACTCTGCCTTTTCTCTCCTACCATGTGTCAACATTTAATGACGGTTGTGTGGCGCGCACATTTACACAGGAGACTACTGTTGAACAGAAAAATGCTCTTTTTTACTGGGGCAAATCTAAGTTAGCCACTATGAGAAGAAAGGGAAGGTCAAAGGGCTTATGTCTTTACATAAAGGGCGGAGCTGTTTAAAACTAATGCATATCGAAGCACTTTACTGTTGTGAAAATAAACACTATGTGCTGGTTTAATGCACAATAATCCTCTGGAAGTACTTTTACATATTGTCCAAGCAGTAAACCTGAGTATTTAATCATAGATTTGAAAGATTAATATACTTTATGCTGCTGGGTGAATATCCTCGCACATGATTTGTTCAAACAGGCACTGAAGCAAACATTGTTTGTCCACACCCAGATGGTAAAGGGCAGTGCAAGCAAAGACCCACTGCTGTCTGTTAACCTCAACTGGCAGTTGACACAGCTAAACGTTCGGCCTGTGAACACTCAGATCACACATTTGGTAAGACAGTTTGGGTTTTTAGCATCTTTATGTCTGTACTCCTGTAGGACCTGCAGACAGGAACAGCCTTCGTGCAGCATAGTCTGCTGCAGCATCCTGTCATCCAAATCCAGGAACCCTCAGCACAAAGCAACGGGCACGATGAGCTGGACAAAGATTCGGGATCAAAGGTGACAATTTGGCTAATGGAGAGGCAGTGCTTGAATACTCGCTGCACAGAGTAACGCCACTGTTGCTTCTTGCCCCCTCCCTGCATACTGTTAATTCTGTGCACCGCCAGTTTTGTAGGTCGTTTAAAGTTTAACTAAACCCCTAAATTCTGCTAGCTCCCTCTCTCACAGCACATTTACAAAATGCAGGAGAGGAGAATTATACAGGAGGTGTGTCCTTGTAGCGATGGAGCGTGTGACGTGGGTGACAACACCAGCCAGAGTGAAAGACTGACTACCACTCAGTCACTCAGTGTGAGAACTAGTTAGCAAGCAGAGAAGTCCAAATAGAAAGCTAGAAATAGATATGTGATATATGGTTTAAATATTCATCTTCTGCCTCTCTAAGTGGTAGTAATATGAATGCAACATTCAGTTTTATATATAATTAAGAGTGTTAAATAACATCCACACAACATCCATTCAAAAGAGCATATGACAACATGACAAGTGGTGTTGATGAATGGGTAGTTGAGGTTATCTGACAAACAAGCTACTGTAAAAATTATTTCACAACCAGAATGTGATTTTAGATCTAGGATTTTAGGTTTTAAAACAGTATTTGGACCATCAGCTAAGATAGCTGTTGGACATTAATATTAAAATTAACATTTACATTAAATATTATAAAAAAGAAACAAATAACATATTACGTTATACTTACGTCGTTCTCAGACATAAAACATAGATTAGCTGTTGAAGTAGGCTGACATAATACTTTCTGAATCAACTTTATTATCACATATACATCATGCACAGTACAATGCATAGTAACATTTGTCCTCTGCATTTAATCCATCTTGAGTACTAGGAGCAGTGGGCAGCCACTGTACAGCACCCAGGGACCAACTCCAGATCTAAGCATGTGCCTTGGTCCGAGGGGCCTACCCCAGCCGGGGCAACAGTGCAGACCACTGAGCCCCCATGCTTATCAGTGATTAAGTGATTAAAGGTTGGCCTAGGATCTCAGAGTGCAGAGTGTTTTTACTGTTCGTTACTGAAGCCAAATACTTAATATATACTTATATAACACTGTTATTGGACCTTATTGTGTCTGCAAGTGATGAACTAGTAGTATAGCAAAAATGCCAAATTTGTTGGTTTTAGTTTCTCTGTTATATAGCATTGTCAATTTAATATCCGTGCATTTGGAGTGTTGGTTGGGAAAAACAAACAAACCTTGAAGACGTCACCTTGAGTTGTGGAAAATGGTGAAGAGCAATTTTTCAGTATTTCCTAACAATTCAAAGACCAGACAAATCATCCCAAAAATAGCCAGCAGATTAATCAATAGTGAAAAAAGTAGTCGCAGCTCTAAAAGCAACTAAAATTACAGGTTGTGAAAAAAATAAAGTGCTGGAAGAATAGTTGAGTTCTTGTAAACTTTCAGTTTTACCTTCATGTCCAACATTATTTTTCTGTGCTTGTTAGTATTGGTCTTCACCAAGACTCCAAAAACATGGGCATGCTAGAGTTCCTAATAAGTTATATAAGCGCTCACTGCTTTAGGGCTGCAACTATTTTCATTATCGAATAATCTGCTGACCATTTTCTTGATGATCAGTAATTTGGTCCATAAAATGTCAGAAAATGTTGATTAAAGTTTTCCAAATGCCAAGGTGACGTCCTCAAATGTATTGTTTTTTCCACATATTCAGTTTATTGTCATAGAGGACTTAAGAAACCAAAAAGTATTTACATTTGAGAGGCTAAAATCATTCAAATCATCATCATTCAAATTAGGACATTTTTTCTTTTAAAAATGTATCAAAACCATGAATTGATTATCACAGTACTTGACAATTAATCGACTAAGTCTAAACTAGTTGGTTTCCGGCACCGTTTTGATTTAAATTCAAGTAGTGTGTGGAGGGCTAGGTTCAATATCAGGTTTTCATAATGAATTAATGTCCTCTTATTCTGAAAGACATTTGGATGAACATTCAGTGGGGGTGCTAACCTTGGACTTACACAAAGTTAGATACAGTACATTATCTCACAGTTTAAGTGAGAGTAAAACACTGACTTCCAGGTCAGGGCTCACAGTCTGGTGGTTCTAGTGGTTACCCACCAGGTGGTGCTAAGTAAATTACCTGGATTTTTAACCTACATTATGTTGAATCTGAGTGGGAGGAGGACCCATTGGGGGAAAAGGGGGAGAATCTGCATTTAAATGGAGCTCTCTGTTATTATGTTAAGCAGCAACATGTTGGAACTCATTAGAAAGATAATAATCATTTGTGCCCATTAAAGAGATTGAGATTCCCAGAGAAAGATACGTGGCTGCTCAATAGACAGATGAAATATGTTGAAATGTGTTAATATAGCACCTGCAATCAGATTAAGTGTGTTTGCTTAAAGTATTAGTCACACCATTGAACTTTGTATTTAGGACACCCAGTGTTGACAGTTGTTTCACATTACAGAAGCTACCTGGCTGGTTCTCTGTCATACTAAACGCTGGAAGCTCTGCGGTTATTCTTCCAACGCTTGATAGGAAATGTAACTTGTTAGATCATGCTAAATTCCGGATGAATCTCTGGGGAAAATTTTGTTAAAGTTAAATGAGGATCAGGAAGAGAGCAACGTCCTTAACTGGAATCTAGAAGAACAGCTTGAATTGCTGCTGATCACAATGGATTCCAAATTGAGCTCCACCTACAGTGCCAATGTATCAGTATTAGCATATATGTTAGCCTATAAGTACAAATTAAATATTTTAAAAGGAGATTTTTTTTTAATGGTTCTCTAGATTACGTAGCTTGTCCTCCAGAAAGAAACATAAGTCTATTTTTGGACTGAATAATGTCTTGCTCATCTTAGTCTTAGGCCTCTTAAAAACTACATTTTCCTGTTTATGTTGTGTTTAAGTAAAAAAAAAAAAAAAAAGATATTGCTGTTGGATTTTTAGTTGGAAGACAAAGTGAACAAAAGATACAGACGGCAGATCATGCTGCGGGAGTGGTGTGAGAAGTTTATTTAGATGTTTAATCCTGTTACCATAGAGATCCAATGTAACTGACATGAATTCAAGCTACAGCTACAGTTCTCTGCTGAGAACACAACTACCAGTTTATTACAGCTACCTTTCAGCCTATGCATGAATTCATTTTGGTAATTGGCTTATTGGCTACAGGGATGGTCGGTTGGTGGTCTGCCACTTTGGTTCAGAAATATCTGAGCAACTATTGGATGGAATGATAGGAACCTTTGTACAGAAATTCATGGCCCCCTAATAAGTTTGGTGATCCCTCCACCATGAGGTTGACATTAATGGTTTTCAGAGAAATTTCTTTACCCCCCCTTGGGAGGAGGATCTGTTGGCAGAAATTGAATATAATATTCATTAAGTATTTTTTATTAGTGTATAATCTGCATCATAAGGAATATGTGTCCAATATTTAACATTTATTTGCAAACCCGATTACAGTCCCATCACTGATGCTAACATGTGCTAATTAGCCCATATTAGCATGTTACCATGCTAAAAGTAAGATGTGAGCATGATGAACATCACTCACTAAACCACAGCATGTTAGCATAGTTAGCATGTTAGTACTGATATCAAAGCACTGCTGCCTGTGCTGTGCACAGCCATAGACTGAATAGTTAAATTATCCAACATTTTTAACTTGGCTTGACCTAACTGTGTAAAGGATACGAGGACAATCCCCTGTGTAAAATATCATTAGTGGCCTCTTTCTCAGCTGACCCCCCGCTCCACGTTGAAGACTCTCTACAAATTAGTTTTGGTTGTTTAAGTACAGTTTCACTTAACTTGCCTTCACCTCCACAGGCTCCACAATGTCTAATACAAGACAAAACAACCAGGACTGTAACAATTAGTCAATTAATCCATAAGCCGGTTAAATTTATCAAGCAAAAATGGCCAACGTTGTATATCATTGTGCACTGAATATCTGTGGGTTTACTGTTGGTCAGACAAAACCTTGAGCTGTGGAAAATTACGATGTGCAATTGTTCTGTATTTTCTGACAAATCAAAGACCAGACAAATAATCGAAAAATAATCAACAGAGGAATCGATAGTAAAAATAATAGTTGCAGCCATAAAAGCCTCTAAAGTTACAATTTATGAAAAAATATAAAGCGCTGGAAGAGTATTTGAGTTCTCATAACATTTTTCCCTTCATGCCCAACAATGTTTTTCTCCTCTTGTTATTGTTGGTCTCCACCGAGAGTGCAAAAAAAAAATAAAAATGGACATGTGCTAGAGTGGAATAGGCTGGATAAATACAGTCCCTCCACTTTTCATGTTCAGCACACTGACATGTGACAGTTTGTGCAAGAGACATGAAAGGGCTGAGTGTTTTAACATCATGTCTCTGTATGATCTGAGAACAATTTGCAATCAAGTCGTCCTCAAAAGAGGCAAGAAAGAAAAAAACCCTCTCCCCTCTCACATAAATCAGCCAAAGTGACACTTTTATACACTGCTAGAAGAGTTTTTCTCTGGACCCCTTCAGACTGAAATGGTGACAGAAACACATGGCCTGACTGTAGGTGTGTTGTTTTTTTTGGTTAATTGTTAATTGGATTGCTATTCATTACCCCTTATGTGTGAAACCGGCACCTCTGTCTCGCTGTCTCATTACCTCTCTATGTGTCTGACACCCTTTGGTCACGTCTCGTCAGCTGGAAAACATCACAGTAGTGAGACCGGTGTGTGAAATTGGATGTATGAGTGTCAGTGTGTGTGTGTGTGTGTGTGTGTGTGTACCCTGTGATGCTGGATCATACTGTGTGACTATTAGGACCGATACGGTACAGTTAAATTGTGTCACGGCTGAGTAATAGTCGTCTGATTTCTGTCTTTCAGTCCGAGTCGGAGCAAGACGAGGAGTGTACGGGAAGTATGGGCTCCGCTGCTGTCGCTGTAAGTCCTTCTCATGTCTTTAATATGTTTTTTTCTTGTGGCTTTCTTATTCACAAAAGCTTTGAGGAGTTATAAGTAAAACATCTGAAGAGTTTGAGTTGAGTTTCTCTTAATGATTTATGACCATTAAGGTTTTGATCTTTGGAAATACACATCCACTCTCCCCATGGTACCATTGCTGTCAGTACGTGTTCCCTATAAACCAATAACAGAAGTAAAAGCATGAACTATGTGCAATGTGACCATGGGTGTCTCCCACAGTGTGTCAGTTGGCTGTGACTCAGTCGTTTGTAGGAAATGGATTAGAGGTTTGTAGCTTCAGCATTATCAAAAGAGCCTACAACAGGATGTGGACAGTAGGGTGTGTGTGTGTGTGTGTGTGTGTGTGCACACATCTGAGCTCCACCTCCCCCCTCTGAAATAGCTGGATCCTGTAGAGAAGGAATGGATCTACTCTGCTGCAGGTGCTCGAGTCCCTGACCTCTCTCAGCTGCTCAGACAGGACCCCTCACTGGCAAACAAGAAGGTAGTGCCGCCTTCTGCTTTGCCTCTTAAAAGAGAATTCCACTTTATTTCAAATGGGACCTCTTTTTTTCATATTTTTGAACTTCTGTAGGGAATCTTTGGCGATATTGCCACCATAAGTCTGGCGGGCGAGAAACATGAGCAGTCAATGATCAGGCAGTTTAAGACAAACACAAGGGCTCTTTAGATGGAAAAAATGATGATGAATGGTAAAATTATGACCCATTATTGTCTGTTGTTAACAGGAAGACTGTGATGGGCTGCAAGGCGAGGGTCACGTAGGGTCACAAGGCAAATTTTTGGTAGCCTTGCTAGCTTGTCAACTTAAAAACCATGTAACAAAACTCCTTAACAGATTCTGTAAAACTCTATACATGTTGCGTTTATTTGCTCTTTCATCTCATTCAGTTTTTACAAAAGAAATAAACTATTGAGTTGTGATAAAGCATCAAGTTGTGCCCTCTTCAAACAGGAGTGTATGAATAAAAACCTAATTTTTAATCATCAATTCCTGCTGAAGTGTATCCACAAATTTGTAATAACAGCTTGCACTGCCAATCGTTGTCAGTCAGCAGTAAATTAGCCGATCTGCTCACTAGTGGCCGTGCTAGCTCGGCGTCCCCCTGTCCATCACGTGACCCTTGCCCTTGCAGGTTGTAGCGGCCCCTCGAGAGTCACAGTTCACGGCTGACCGCTTGGCTGAACTTTAACCGTCCGTACTGTCAAGTTTCCTTTGGATTTTAACTGACTGACTTTAACCTCCAGATAAACTGACTTAGAAAATCAGGCTTGTTTGCAAGCTAAGAGCATTTCTACTGCAGGGCCAAGGGACAAAGAACCTTTTAAGCAATCCAGGAACTGCGTTTCGACTAAAAGAATCAGGGACTATATTTAGTTCCTCCGCTATAGCTCCAAGCGCCAAAAAAGTCCCTGCTCTGGGGATGGTACTTTCCAGTAGTTCAGGAACTATCCGGGTGGAGTTGGCAGTGCTGATCGTTGCAGATTGGTCAACTTTTACAAATCGCGTACAGCTTTCATTCACAAAACAAGGAAGCAGTTTCCCCTTCACCGATGTTTATTAACAATAAAACAATAAGTTACGTTGTTGGCTTGCCGGCTAGTTTACAAAAAGAGAATGTGAACAATCTAAGAGCAAATGAACGAGAGAGTGAGAGAGAGAGAGAGAGAGGGAGGAGCTCTGAACAACATGATGTCCAGTCAGTTTGTGTTTCTTCGTGTGAGGAAAAACACGTTTGTTCAGGGTTTTTTCATGTCTTTAGCCTAATTTGCCAAATCTTCACACAAACAGGAAAGTAAGTTGGTTGGTGCAATGTGAATGAAAATTGATCAGAATTAATGATCACAGCCATAAATATGACCCAAGTTGTGGTAAACTGGAATTCTCCTTTAATGTCACATAAAAACAAAGTGAACAAAACTCTCTCAGATTACTGTTTCAAGTGGTTGGGAACATGGTTTCACTAATATATGTGTTTGTGTGTTTTGTATCTTCTCTTGGGGCATCAAACCAGGACTTCACCTCAGTGAGTATTTGATGTGGTACTTATAAATAGCTATGCAACATGTTGTGTTTTAGGTGAAGTTATTATCAACACATGATATCACATGACTTTTGTCTGACTTAATGCCTCTTATTTTCTCATTTCGACACAATGTGGCTCCCGACTGTGACCATGACCATTCCTTCTCAGGGGGTAAGTTTAATCATTCGTCCTTCTGTCTGCACCTTGTGTGTAATAACTCTGAACGCCTGCTGTAGCCTGTTGGAATGGAAGTTAATTTACAGCGTCCATTATAACGGACAATATTTCAGCTCCGTGTTTCTTTATCTTTCATCTGCGATACAAACCTCCTCCCTCTCAGACCTGCGTTTTGCTTGTATAACTTTCACAAGCTTTTTCTGCTGAGATTTTCCCCTAATAGTATTCTGAGAACCCTGTGTTAAAACATCCAGATCATGCATTTCAAAGGTCCACTATCAAAAGGATTATGAAAGATAGCTTTTTAGCTCCTGTGGCCCCCTGACAACCCAAATCCTTTTATTTGTCTCCCTGTGCGCTTAAGAGATTTGAGCTCATGTTTGTTGTCCCTCCCTGTGTCACAGTTCTCACACTGTCCTGTGGCCATGGCAGACCACCTTCTAAGAGTAGCCCTAAGCCTCTGCCATCCCCACCCGGACAAGATAGCATGGCCGCCATTGAAGTGTAGGGAGATGTGTGGGGGAGATTAAGGAGAGTCTTAATGCCCCACAAAGACTTCACCCACTTAAAGATAATCTGAAAGTAATAGAGCAGGCTGGGATTAATTGTAGAACAATGCTGTTGTGTCCCTGGGAAGGTGCTAAGTCCCCCTCGGGCCTCTTTGATGTTCCCTTTAGCCCTCAGCCTTTCCCTGTTCAAGAGAGGTGGATGCCTTTGCAGAGATAATGTACAGAGATACCCAGAATAACAACAGTTGCAAGACTCATGAGAACCAGTCTTTAAAAGCAGGAGTTATTATATCTGATCTGCATTTGTCACGTCCTGCTCAACAGAAGTTATGTTAAGTGTACCAAATACCAGGCTCTAGATCACATGTTTGACCAGGACTGAAGGGATTACTCTTCATCCTGGGAGGACTTAAGTGTTTCCTGTTCTAACCAAATGTTTGTTGGGATCAGGTGGTTTTATAGGTATGCACTTCAAACAGGGGTTTAAATGTGATGTTTGACACTACACGGGTCAGAACACCCAGATCTCACCTGAGCCAAACTCCTCTCACTCCATACTCTCATTCTCTCTTTCTCCTTCCTGCTCTGCTTGTGACGTGGGCCTCCGTTCCTGCTGTGACGGACTTCCTCTGCCACGCAGTTTGTAAGTACATCATTAGCCCATCACTCCTCTCTGTCTTCCTCCCCATCAAGTATCAGGCACACTGGCCATTGTGTCTCCTGTTAATGTGAGCCCTCTCTAGCCACCACTTCCCTCACTGGGGAGCGCGTGGCGGGGACACAGCCGTCCCTGAGTGATTGGACAGGTGTGTGTGTGTGGGGTGGGGGCCACCCCAGTGGGCAGGAACAGAAATGAGAGGCGCAGGAAGGGAAGACGCTGCATCCTGTTCAACCTCGTCCATCACCCATGCCCACCGGGAGAGCCGCCGAGCCGTCTGTCAAACGGCTCTTCGGCCAATCTGTCTTATGATGTGACAGGGGACAGACAAAAGAGATGGAGATACTTGAGCCAGACAACATCTATCACAATCTGTCTCCCAGACGCTCGGCACACAGAGATGTAGCCTCCTATCGCTCCCTCAATCCCTTCAGTGGGTACAAGCGGACATTTTTTCTCATTCCAGTAGTTGGACAGGCTTGTTGTGCCACGATTAGCACAATTAGCGTCATAGCCTTTAAACACAAAAGGGACTTGTGTCCTGCTCAAGCAGCGTGCCGGCCTCAGTTTGTGCCTCTCATGTGTTATCATCACATTTGAGTCACAGAGCTAAACATCCGTTTCTCTGAAGAATAAATGCTCTGCAGCTGTTTTATTTAAAAAAAAAAAAAAAGGTATTTCCAAAATCCTCAAAGACTTTTCTAACAAAGTGGAGGAAAAAAATAGTCTGTCCACCATAAGAAAAAAGACGTTTTAACCTGTTTCTTGAGTTGCAACTGTATTTTGTAATCCAGGTTACCCCAGATGCCCTCACACAAGAAAAATATAAACACATTTTTTATATGAAAATAATCGTTTCTGCTATCAAAGCTATGATTGTTTTTAAGCACATTTCATACTGCGTAGGTGGCAGTGCTGGAGATTCAAACGTCAACAGACTTCATTTTTACTGCGGACATTATTTGAGGAAGGCGTGATTCTGTTTACAAATGTTACCAAAGACGTCAAATGTTATGGATATTAACTTAATAACCATCATAATGAAACAAGCTTTTTCATGATGGCTGAACACGATGCATGACTGGTTTTGACAAATGGTTCTGCCGGCCTGGCTCATGTGACCAGATGTACTCCTATAACGTGTATTGTTGCTCCACAACTTTTCAGGAGCTAACAAAAGTAGTTTTCATCTAGTCTATCAGGCACGGAAGGGTTTCTTTCTTCTGCAGCATGTATTAACAGAAAATAACTAAACTTGAGGTTATAAGCTTTTCATCCATCCACAGTTAAAAGGTCATTCTGAAATGGTTACTGTTTGATTTACTGTGTTAAGGGTCAGACTCAGAAGGGGTAGATGTGGTTACTTAGCCAACATCTGCGCCTACGCTCTGCTTTCACCTGTTGATAGCCCATAATTACGCAGCTTAAAGTGTGTAAGAAAAACTGTGGAGATCACAGTTCTGGTCCGACAGGTGGATGTGGTTTGCATGCGACTTGTGTTTTTAGCGTGTACACACACGTTTGAGTATCTCTGCATGTGGACATTTGGGTGTATCTCTAAAGAGTCTTGTCGCGGGGGCCCATGTTTCCCTCCTTGACGTGTGCTGACAGTAGTGCGGTGATGTCTGGGTGGGTCTCCACTCTGCAGGTCACACTAACATCATCAATCATCCCCCTGGTGACAGGCGGCCGGGCCCCCCAACTGTGGGCACAGTGCTGTGTTGTTTTGTAATTAGGCTCTGTTAGATGGCAGGAAACCATCTCTCCATTCCTCCTTCTCACCATCCCTCCATCCATCCACTCCCCTCTGTGCGCAGCTGGCCCTCTGCCCTCACACAGCCAATGAGAAGCTGCCCTGCTCAGCTTAGACAACTTGTAATGATGCTACGGCAATTATCCTGCCTGACAATAAATACAGAACAGTGTAGAAGAAGGATTTTATGAATAACTCTTCTTTTCTTATTGCACACAGACAGCTCTGCACTGGGCAGCTAAGCATGGCAGCGAGGACATGGCCACTCTGGTGGTTAATGCCGGTGCTGATGTCAACACCAAATCAGTGAGTGCAATTTTTATTTTTTCATATTTAAATAAGCTGATTTGAAAGGAAATTCAGCAATTTAGTATTGCACATGGAATATTTGAATGTATTGCGAGTACAAATCTGCAACGACTAAAGGACTTCAATCAGACCAAAAATTACATTTAAATACATTTGTAAAAAACTTAATTCCAAGAGCTTGGTGAGACAATTGATCTCACTTTCATGTCTCACACTAATTATTCTTAGACAATGACTTTAAAGGGGCACTTAAGCTATTTAGTGCTGCATATGAATACATTTGGGGGATTTGTGGAAGATGGAGAACTAGTCAGAATTCAAGCAGCAGAGGATCAGATATCCTCACTTTTAGTCCTTAATGTGAGTCAAGCACTAAAAGATTTCCCATAATGCAACTCAGTAGCATCTTTAACATAGAGCTCTGATGTCCTGTTCTACGATCTTGTGGAACTCAATAAGGATTTTCATTCATCAGATTAATTGGCTCCACAACAGCAGCAGCACCTTTGTGATTTTAACAAAGTTAAACAACGATTAGTTGTGAGAATGCATAAAACTACAAGTCCCATGTAAATTTACAAGCACAGCAGCGAGGGTACATCATAGTATAGGGTACGTCATAGTAACTCGGTTTCTTCTATTTCTATAAAACACTCTCCTCTAACTCTCCCCACAGTTTAGCTGTAATCTCTGCGTTTGATCCTCTTTGACCTGCTGACACGTGCGAGCTAACCGCGACGCCTTGACTTTTGTTGAGATGTGACGTTTAAACTGCCATAGCCTTGAGTGTATTAGACTTAATGTTCATTAAAACAAGCTAAAAACATAAATATTAAATGAATGACAATACTAGGTTGTTGTTGTTTTGTTTTTTTTAACTTACTGTCCTTATAAACACATGGAGTGAACAACACAATAAAGTTTAGAAAGGTTCTGTCCCGAGGCTTGATTTTTAATTATTTGTGTTATTACAAAGGTCATTGGGATTTTCTTACTTCTGGAACAGAATCCAAAGTTTCAGTTTTACTCTGGCTCTCTTTTAGACATTGCCTGTCTGATAAATTCCCTTATCTTACACACTCCCAGCCTCAAGACTTAATATCACGTATCTGAAATATCAAATCTAACTCAAGCTATCCGTGGTGACATCCCTGTGGTTGTTTTTTCACAGAGTGAGAACTGTTGTTCTATAACTGTGCTGCAGTTTGGTTTGCTGTGCACAATCACTGATTTCTCCATGGTATTCTTCTGTCTTGCAGCATGTGAGTATCCAGGTCTTTATCAGGAAGTGACGGGTATGTACAGTGACAACAACATGGCTGCTGGTTTCTTCTTCTGTGCCCCTCGGTGATGTAATGTTCCTAAATGATTTGTATGAAACTCCAGCTGTGCAAATGGATTGCAGCAACACGTGTTGTTGAGCTGTGGGAGTACTCCGCTAATAAATCATGTCATGTCATGTTAATTGTTTCCCAAAACAGTGCCAGCATGCACAACTCTGAAACTATGCAATTTTCAGCGAATTACCAAGCAATTATGTTTTTATCATTATCTTGTGTTTCCATAACCTTTCCTAATTTGTATATTTTTTTTCATGCTGTTTTCATTGGCTGCGTTTGGGCCTGGGAAACTCTAGGGGGTAGGTACTAAACCCTTCCAGCTCTTTGCCGCAGTTATTCTCCTGAAATCAACACAAAGTAAAAATGTCAATTTTAAGCTGGCGCAGCTTTCGGTGTGTCGATGGTGTGTTTGCATGCCAGGTTGCATCCCCACTGTCTCCAAAAAGATGATAATTTTCAACTTCAGAATACACGTTGTTGATTTGCTTTATGCACGTTTTCCTTTTGTTTTACTCTTGTTTTTGTTCCACAGGGATATACACCTTTACACATTGCAGCTTTACATGGTCATCGGCATATTCTAGACCTGCTCATAGGGACATATGGTAACAATTGCTTTTATTTAACCTGTTTGTTGCAGGGATAGCTTGATTTAATGTTAAATACTTGATTTCAAAGTGCAATCAGTGTCAATCAGTTTAAGAGTGACAGCAGGTTCCAATCCTACATGGGTAGTTTTGTTTATCTTTGGATCATGGCTTGTTTCTTAAAGCTTTAGGTGTAAGGTGTCAGTGAAGTAGCTTACCTGCTGCCCCCCATGACTAGTCTCAGTTTTCACAGATTTATTTTTTCTGTTATCAGGGGCTAAAGAAAACTTAAGGGACTACAGCGGCCATCTTGCATTCCATTATCTGAACATCAAAGATCCAGAGGGTCCAGAGGAAGACTGCGAGCTGCGTAAGTGTCTCATACTGGTGCTGCTGAATTACAGATTGTTTAATTACTGACAATTGTATTAATGCTTAATGTTTTTATGCATTTGTTATAATTTATTACTTAAGTGGTTTCATGTTGTTCCTCTAATTCTGTTGCATTTGTCTCTGTTTGGCCATTCCCTAAAATAATTTTATTTTCTTTAGCACTGAAGCACTTTCTATCTCCGGTTTTGAAACATGCTATAGAAATAAAGTTTTCTGCCTGAAGTACATGTGACCGACATTTAAATTAGATAATAGTTAGATAAGAAGATCATTAACATCGTACGCCAAATATGAAGCTACAGCCAGCAG